ACAGACTGTGACAGAGAATGAGACAGCGTGACAGAGGGTGGTGGGGGGGTGGGTTAAGAGTATAATGTTGTGACAGCCTTTTCACTCCATATGAATGACATTTTTCTCTCCCTTCAGTTTTCCTTTGGGGACTTCAAAGCGTCAATCTGTGCAGAGCGATTCGGCCGACGCCATTGTGTGAATCTTGAATATTCATCGGGGTCGTTCTCGTTCTGGTGGGCTAACGCTCAGCTGGGGATCTGCTTGGGAACTTGCGTATGACATCAGCGGACAGTGATATTGTCTGATGACGTGTGTGATGAAACGTGTCCAGATGTAAATGACTGCGTGTTGTGAGGTGACGTTAGATTTCTCATCGTTAGAAGCTTTGTTCTCCATCTCTGTAGAAGTCACTCCGCAGCAGATGGACTGTAGCGGAGCGTGTAGCAGAGCTTGTGCTGAAACATTACGCTCTCGAGACGATAATTCATTGAAGTTGTCGCAGTTTCTTTAATCTATTGCTGTTACACACTCAAAATAAGCACAATGTTTATTTCCGAACTCGTAAAGAGACGTTTTTCTCTGTGACGGAGATTGGTCCCAGTTGGACCATCTGGACCGGACTGGGCCATCACTGAAAATCCTCCCTAATTTCACAGAGCTGAAACTCAGCTTGGCTCTGACTGGAACATCGCTCATGACATGCATTCCAGTCCAGCTGGCAGTAATTTCTTCATCCGTGCTCCTCCGTGGCGTTCTGTTTCACAGGTTAGCGGTGATTCTTCACAGTCGTCCATGACAAAAAAGTGGGTCTGCTCCTTTAAAGTCCTTCTGCCTCCTCCCCCGAGGAAGAAGAAAAACACGACTCATTTTCATGGTGCGTTAGAACACCGCTGGTAGCATTAATGTTAGTTCTCTATTTCATAAGACAATATTTGCCTGGTGGAAGAACGAATTATTGCAGCCAATCAGATCGTATTAATTACTGCCGCTGCTCAGAGTGTGGTGGACACAGGATCTGCACGACCGAGTGAAAATAATCTGAACAAAACTCACCTTCCTCTACTGTTTCAACCTGAAACTCATGCATGAAATGAACTGTACACACTGTACACACTGTACACCGTATACTATAACAGCTGGAGGATACAGTGTTAGTACAGGCACCGTATACTATTACAGCTGGAGGATACAGTGTTAGTACAGTTAGATAATACACAGTAGTTTGTGATCTGATTCATGTACAGTATATGTACGTTATTATTGTAGTACGGTGTCTTTGCTGTGTAGCGTGTACCTCGTAGGCTTCACTACTTCACTGTCTCTGGACGGATTGACTGTCATCTTTACTGCCTTGCTCAAAGTCACTAAAACCTTAAACAGATTGCCGACATTTTCCACTGAATCCATTGAATATATTATTTATTTGCTTGTTTTAGGACTTTTCCAAATAAACATTTTAACCACGATAATTATTTAGTGAAATGATTATCGTGGCAACGATGTAGCTCCGCAACTCTGAGCTATAACGCCGATTTAGCCTTGTGTTTTGGGCGAAGGCGGAGTGTTGGGAGAATCTTCTTCTTCTACACCTTTGTCTTTTTAAATCTTCTTCTTCTTCTTCTACACCTTTGTCTTTTTTTCCAGGTTCGAGAAAACAAAAAAACATCAGATGGAGCTTAAAGCTTCAAACATTTTAACTAGATTTTCCTGGACGTTTGGTCAAACATTTTGAATCACACGGCTCCACACTGGGCGACGACATCCAACAAAACTCAAAGCTCTTGGACTTGACGACTCGGAGACGACTCTTATTATTTTTGTTTTTAAATTAAAACATCTGTCTTTGATTGATTTAACCAACCTTTGTGTTGACTATTATAATATGCTTTCAAAGACTGGAGATTGAATCACAGTAAGAGATCTGATCCACTACTGCTGTAACTCAGTTATCCAGACAATCTTTCTGAAGACACTCGGTGTCGTGGAGATGATTCTTTTTACTCCAGTCCACGTTCCTCGTCATCCGTCTTCAGGAGTAGTTTTAAAAAGAAACAGCTGTGAAACCACTCTAAAATGAACCCATAGTGTGAAAAAAAAACAATCTTCACTGAGTGATATTTTGGTGAAAGTCTCTCAACATTCAACCTCTGTGGATATAAAGGGAATGTAAGGGAATTATTTTTCAGATTCTTTAGAAAGATATATATATATATATATATATATTTATATATATATATCTTTTTTATATCTTATATATATATATATATATACTTTATTGATCCCAGACTGGGAAAATACAAATTTTATTTTTTTAAATTTTTTTAATGAAACCTAAATGAGTCTTTGGAAACAACAACATGTTACAGTAGGAAAAAGAGCCAGGAGTCAATAATGTAATAAATCACTCAATCTTCAATATGTCACTGAGTCACTGCTGACACCGGGTCGAGTCTGGTTCTGATTCCAGAGCCTGAAGCTGCTGTGGATTCACCGGATGATTGAAGCGCTGACTGTGAGATTTCTCTGTTCCTATTAATCATCCTGTTTGTGTTTGAGATGATAAATGGACTCTGACCTTTGAACCCTCACCAGTAGTGGAAGGGAGGGGAGGGGGTGAGGAGAATGAGGGGAAGTGAAGAGTTAATTTCGCTGAATGCGTGTCCCCTCCTAACCCCCCCCCACCCACCTACCCCTCCACAGTCTGCCCCACATTCATCCCCCCATCTTAATGCGGCAGAGTGACCCCCACCTACGGGGCTCCTCACCCGCTCGGACCCCGCATCTCGGTGGGCAGAGTGAGCTGTCTGAGGCTCCACGCTGGGTGTTTGATGGAGCACAGAAGGGTGTGTGAGAAGCACTGACCCATTCACTCCCCCACTGGTCACATGTGTACGCAGCTTTTTCCACAAATAGAAGAGGTGGCTTCTGGGAGCTGCTCCTCTTCCCACCCAGTCAGATTTTAAGTGGGGACAGGTGTTGGCTGTGGTTGGTGTTGTCGTTGCCCCTCCTCCGTCATGGCTGCTTTAACACCTCTACATGTGGTGGTGGTGCGGCCGGTCATCTGTGAGAGAGAAGTTTATGGAGTGGTGTAGTAGAACCGAGGTGAGCTGTTAAACAGCTGAGGTAATCCTCTTAACTTGTAACCCACATAATGGCGTTTCCACTGGAATGCGTTCCTATTGTTTCTGTTCCCGTGCGTTTGTCCGAGTGTTGGATTAGTGTGAGGTTTGTGAGGTTGTGGTGGTGCCTGGAGGTGTGAGCCCTAATCACCTCTAATCACCTGATGTGTGATGGCTTAATCCCTGTTGTTTACACCACCTTCACACACACACACACACACACAGGCTCACATGAGTGTCGGAGTCTTAATTCCAGACTGTTTGGTTTCAGATTTATGTGCTGGGTTTTACCATTTAAACAACACCTGCGTCTGCAGCTGTACTTAATACTGCAATACTACAATACTTTAATACTGCGTGGACGTGTAGTACAGAACGGGGTCGAGTTCTGTTCGTGGTACTTTTTCACCGTTGAACAGATTTTTGGCCCTCACTTCCTTAAAAAAACGAATCTTTAGTTTTGCAGTGTTTTCACTTCGGGTCAGACTTTCGATATTAATAGTTTTAGTCCAATCATTTTTCTCTTTCTATAACGTACGATCAATTCCAAAACGTCATAATGTTTATAACCTGCCTACGTCGATTCATTAATGAAACTGACGCAGACACTGCTGATACACACTGTTCTTCTTCTACTCTCTTTACAGCCAATCAACACATGACATAGCATGTGGCTAGGTACCATGTACGGGCACAGGGTGAATCACAACATAAAAGTGTGCCACACGTCACTAAGTCATAAAACAATGTGTTATTTAAGCAGATGAACCTTGACACGCCTACAGCCCAGAGCCGTCCAATCAGACGCTTCCCGTCTTCCCAGTCGATCTCTCCAGTGTTTGGCTCATCTGGTGCAGGGTTGGCCATGTGGTCTGTTCCAGCTGGCGACTTTTGGATCAAATATGAATGGAGGTTCAAGCCCTGGCGCTGGATCAGACACCGCTAAGACGGCAGCCCCGTCATCGGACGGTGGTGCAGTGGGCCAGAAAAAAAGAAAAAAAAAAACCCTAGGAGAGAATCCCTGTCTTGTTACGAAAGTGATTAGAAGTTGATGTGTAATAACTACGAATGACAATCGGAACAATTTTTCTTCTTTTTTTAAATCTGGTTTATGTACGGCCATAAAACATCAAGGAAGAAGGGAATTCTTGACTCTTGCTTCAATCACAGATTAGGGTCGACAGCTGCTCATGTGTGTGTTCTGGAGTTTGAATTGTTTGATTTGTTTGTTTTTTTTGGGGGGGGGGGTTTTAGGGGGAGTTTTATCAGTAAGAACCAATCAGAAAGTGATTCCAAAGATCTGAGTTTTTTAAATATTTGATGACAGTGGGGTGAGTTTACAGCAGGTTTTACTGAAGTGTTGATGCTACATCTGTTGGAACTGTTAATAAAGTTACAGTGTGAGAAGTTAGAGCGAGGGGGGGGTGGGGTGTGTG